GCCTCACCCCTCCCGCTGCCCAGCCCCCATCCCTCTAACTTTCACACTCCGATCATTAGAACAAAGAAGTGAATATATTATTAATATAACTCACATAGTGAACAATCAGCTGTTCATTTTAATTTTGTTCATTTCGTTAATTTCAGATAACTTACAGACAGATTCAGTGGCACAAAAAGTTTTTACTTTTGAAATTATTCCAGCATCAGTCAGTGTTTCTTCTCTTCATCTCTTCGTATGAATCATAATTAACCATTAAACTGCTGGAGGAAGTGAGACTCACGTGTCTTACTGCACATGCCTGATCAGGGAATCTTTGATCCACCACCAAACCGTGAACGTGCRTTMCTCCAAGATTATTTACACCTGGCTTGAATGAACCACCCTAACTGAGSRCGGCTTGGTGTTAGAGCAGCTGATTAMAGCTGTTTACAAGCTCGGCTTACAGCTCATATCCTGAATTTAGAAATCTGACTTTTGTGCAATAGGCCTCTGGTCTTATATTTAAGTCCATCCACTGCACGAATATTAGATTAGTAAATATTTACCTTTTTTGTTTCAGGAAAAATGTGGAGCGGAGGTGTTTACTGGACAACATGGAAGGAGTGTTTCTAATAGTGGATGAAATCATTGACGGGGGGTAAACATAAACATTTATTGTACATTTACATTCTCCTTGGGTTTGGAGGATGTTTTTGTTCTGATCAACATGTTGGTTTCATGTTTATTGCTCAGTAATGTGGTAATACTGATCTCCAAATTATATTCTGAGCACAAAGTGATCACACAAGATCTGTTTTAAAAACTTTGACATTAATTATTGGAGTCAAATGTGTCTGTTAGCTAAATAAATTTGCTGGACAGCGCTATCAGACTGTAAATAATAATTCCATGAAACTTAGACAATAATCATGGGCTGTACCTTTACAACCCATTAARGTTTGATGTCAAACCTAATTAAGATTGTCGCCACATCTTATCAAAATTAGCTAGTACTTTAATAGCTAAAACTCACTTCTACAGATATTGTGTTAATATTTGTTATGGTAGTAGCTGAGACCCATTCACCATCTTGAAATATATTTAGTTTCATTTATTTAAAAGGACAGCACATTTTAATCAATATTCAAAGAATATTAGCAGAATGGCTCATTTTCATCCAGTGTCCTGAAAATATAAAAACAATATCAAAATATTGAATGAAAGTGCACATAATTTGCAAAGTTTGTGTAAAAATATCTATAACTCTTGTCTTTTCTCGTCATTTGATCCTCACAGTTTACATCTCTGACAGAAAGGGCAACAGATGATATACATTCAGTCCAAAGCCTTGGATTTAATTCTACAAAATGTCTAGAAAAAAAGCTTTATCAATGACCCAAGTCTTGCTTGTATAAAACAGTTTTTCTTTTTTTTTTATGTTGCCAGTGTGATTTTGGAGAGTGACCCCCAGCAGGTCCTACAGAAAGTCAACTACAGGGTATGATGGCTGTCAATCAGTTTCAACAACCAATCAAACATTTTCAAACATTGGATGGTGGGGTACAACCCACACAGCTGTTGAGCTGGCTTTGAATGAATCTGTTCAGACCCACTGTGGTCTCCTCTTTTACCTGCCTCACCTTTCTGTTTCTCCTTCTCCCTGTCTGTCCTCTGATTGGTCTCAGCTTATGTCGGAGCCAGCCTATGGCTTCGTCCTGTTTGATTACATCACCGGTAACCTAGAGGCACAAACAGATAGGAGCCAGCTGCTGTAGACAGTCAGACAAACCAAGGGTGAGAGAGGAAAGAGAGACTAACTGAATGAGCGAGAAATATAAAGACAGTTRGGTGGTGGGGTTGGGGGGTCAGGGAAGAAGTCAGATGATTGAAAAGCACGATGTGAGAGCATGGAGACTGATATTAACACCTGCTGAAACAGAAGTGCACCGGTATAGCCACTACTTGTGCCAATTGAGATTCATGGCTGCCATCTTGCTAGGTGTAATGTTTACATGGGGGACCTATACACTAACACCGTATGTGTGCTGTAAACTGTCATCAGTCTGAAACCTACCAAGATGGTGGTACAAAAACTCTTGTTAGCTCAAACCATGTTGTGGTTGACCGCTCCAGTATATCCGTTTCAGCGGTTGCCCCATCTAATGGCGTTAAATAAATATCAGACTTTATTTTAGGGGTAGAACACATTTTCATAAAGTCTATTAATCCAACAAACAATGTTACTAAAAGTCATTTCTAACAACCACATGATGAGCAGCCCACCCAAAGCTTCAGGATGAGTTGTGTTAACTAACAAACAACGTTGATGTGTTGCTGTTCTCTCACTTATTATGTGTGCCTGGTGTTTCTCCCTTTCTGAAACACACATTAATGTTTATTTTTCTTTAACAGGCTGATGAGAACCCATTAACTGAACAAAGTGTGACTCAGGTAAGACACAGACACTGAAGGTGTACCTGATTTATATCATTCCAACATAAAATACCCAAGATTTTAAAACACACAGAAGCAGAAGCACATCATGTCCAAACAAAAAATAAGGACCCAGCATCACTTGAAGGAACGCTTACATCACCTGCCACCTCTCATCGCGGAGTTGTATCCAGTTTGGGGCACTTTGTTCACTTTTCTAAATCTCTCCGCCAGCTTACATACCAAATTAAATAGTTTTGTCTTTGATATTATATTTCATCTTTGCAAACCAGGTTGTCCAATTAAAATAGTTAACAATATAAAGATCTACTCAAAACTATGCATTTTCCAGCCATTTGAAAAGCATTTGATCAAATTCTTGGTATTAATAAAACAAAATAAAAACAATGTTTGAACTTTAAACTGAATTTATCTGAGCTGATAACTGAAACTTTTGCTTTCTATTTACACACTGAGCCCCAGTAGTTAGTCTTGACTGCATCATGATACTTTTTTCACAAAATATCCTCTGTATCAAATAACACCTCATGTAGTAACAAAGCAAAACAAGTTACCTTCATAAACCTGATTAACCAGGGACTATTGTACACACTAAATCAACAATACTCTGATAAAAATACATTGCTCAAAAAATAAAGCGAACACTACTGCTCAAAAAAATAAAGGGAACACTTAAACAACGCACGCTAAGTCCAAGTACATCAAACTTTTGTGAAGCACATTCAACTCTGTACAGAACAAAGTACTCAATGCGAATATTTCATTGATTAAGATCGGGAGTTAGCGTGCGTTAAGTGTTCCCTTTATTTTTTTGAGCAGTAGTGTTCCCTTTATTTTTTTTTGAGCAGTGTATATAAAATAATTTTTTTCTTCCCACATTTGTGGCGCCCCCTAGATGGACGGCACCCTTAGCTTTCGCCTATACAGCCTATGGCATGGGCCGGCCCTGGTTGTAAGATAAGATTAGCTTATGATAAGAAATGAAGGTGTTAAAATTTTGTTAAAATTCTGTAAAAAAATAAAACAAACTAAAATAAATAAAATAAGTAAGTGGCCAATATTAACTGAATAATTGGTACATTTCAACGACACAATTACGTTTTAGAGTAAACCTAATTCATGATGACGACAACAACAGCTAACTGATCTCGACACAAAAATAACTATAACTAAATTTTACAGATATTGAACTAAAGTTTGACCTGATAATAGCTGAGATTCATCCTATGTACCTGAAGCACTAACAGGCTAAGCTAAGCAATGCTAGGCCGTAAATTTTCTTCTACGTTCTGCTGAGTCAGAACTCAACACTCATTTATGGGTGAAGCTCTCAGACACAATCAGCTGAAGCTGTTATGATGGAAACTCTTTTTTTTCCCTGAACTGTCTGCACATTTACAGAGCACCAGGCTGACACATTACCTGCACAAACTGTCTGAAATGTGATATAATAAGTGCTGATCTGTCTTAATAACTGCAGGTGTTTAACTAATATGCTCATGTCCTGTTCTTCCTTCTTATCAAACATTTGCATGACGTGTTTTAAATTCTGTCTGGACTGTGTTTCTGTACTCTAAGTTTCTGTTTGCTGCTTTAACCCCTAACAGCACCTAACAGAGAAACTGGCACTGACTACTAATGTAAGTCTCTTCTAACTTCTATAAATCTCTTTTCTTTTTTTAACACTCCACATGATACACTGGAACAGTTGTTTAGGGCAGGGGTAAAAACCTGTTGATATAAATAGAGGAAACACCTGAATATCACAGATGTTTCTTGGCAAACAGCTAACAGAGGCGCCGCACCTTTTCACCACAGGTGCCTTTTACCTCTTGAGGAAGCTGGTGGACTCAGCTGCATGTGACAGAATTAGCTAGTTGTGATAAATAAACACCTTGCACCATCTGCTGACAAGATTTGGAACAACATCCTCACTGATAAACTCACTCTTTAAAATATATTTACTTTTTTCATATATGGRTTTGTTTTTTAAATTTCTGACCAAGTGAAATGATTTGGATGTTCGATAGGACAAGACATGATTGATGKTTAACTTGCCTTAGCGCTTCAGGGAACTGCTCATGAAAAAGTATTCCTATTTTTGTTTTTAACTTATTCACATTTAGTCATGCTACAACCACAAACGTCAAACAATATAACTGAGGATTTTATGTCATAGACCAACACAAAGTAATGCATACTGTGAACTAGAAGAAAAATATGTGTATGGTTTTCCACATTTTTCACAAAAAGTCTAAAATGTGTAAGATTTTGTTTTGAACTCGTTTTACTCTGACAGCAGAGCAACCAGCTGCCTCCAGAAGTCTCCTAATTAATTAATAGTCTATCAGTAATTTAACCTCAGTATAAATCWAGGTTTATTACAGAACATTAGTTATCAAACATCATGAAGACCAAGGAACACAGCAGACATGTCAGGAATAAAGTTGTTAAGAAGTTTAAAGCAGTGTTGGGTTATAAATCATCACCCTAACCTCTCACAGCTCTCATTATCTGAAAACTAAGATACCACAGTTACAATTACAGAGGTACCAACACATTGGCTGTCTGCCTGAACTGACTAAGAAGAGTATAAATCAGAGGAGAAGACAAGAAGACCATGGTAACTGTGGTCCATAACCCAAGTAGGAGAGTCTGTCAGCATTATTCACAGGAAGAAGCTATTCTGTCTGATGAAACTAGAATTAAACTATTTGGCCTGAATACAAAATGCTCTTTGTGGTGGAAACCTAGCAATGCTCATCCTCCTGCTGTGAAACACAGTGGTGGCAGCATCATGCTGTGGTGATGCTGGTCTTCAGCAGAGACAGGGAAGCTGCTCAGAGTTGATGGGAAGATGGACGGAGCTTAGAAACAGGACATTTCTGGAAGAAAACCTGTTTGACTCTGCAACAAGCTGAAACATCCAACCAGATCTGCAATGGAATGAGTCACATCACACCAGAGCTCATTCATGSGTTAGAAGGAACCAGTCAAAACCCAAAACTTAATCCAGCAGAGATTCTGTGGCGTGACTTGAAAACTGCTCTCTGTTCAGTCTAACAAAGCTGCAGCTGCTTTACAGAGAAGAACGGGCAAAAGTTTCAGGCCAGATGTGTAATGCTGGAGGAGATAAACCCTAACAGACTTGCAGCTGGAATAACTCTCCACACTTTAATTATTTTCATTTATTGGTTTATTTTTTTACATGATGTATATTTTCCTTCCACTTCACATTTATGCACTACTTTGTTTGTCTGTCACGTAAAATCCCAGTGAAATAAAAGTTTTCAGTTGTAACGTGACGACGGTTTAAAGAAATAACTGCAGGATTCTTGTTAGCAACATTCAGTCAGTTTGATTTTATYAAAATAGTTAATATCTGTAGCTGAAGGTGAGAAACTAAGATCTTTCCTGCTGTCACTTTTTTATTATTAAAATGATATTTTTATCTGATTGTACGTTTCGTTCCTACTTTGCTCCAACATGTAGGCATGAAGAGTTCAGGTCCTGGACTCAGCCTGACCTCTGCTGGTGGAAATGTGTTACTGCAACACTAGTTTCGTGTGATTTAAATCATAGTTTTCAGTAAATTACATTTGCTTGTTTTTATGATGGCTTGTAGAGTTGATACAGCTTTATTCCTTTAATTATGTAATTAAATCTTACTAACTCAGAGTTATTAATAGAACAGATCAGTTRATATAAAAGCTTTAGCAACGTGTCTACACAACTTGACCAATGTTTTGACCAAATGCATCATTTTTCTCTCCTTCAGGTTTTGCAGTCTGCTAAAGAACAGATCAAATGGTCCATACTGAAATGACCCGGATGGAAAACAAATGTTACAGATATTTTCTTGTTTCTAACTTATTTTTGAAGCCACGTTGCCACATTTTGGTTGACTCATAAAGCAATTAATTAAGCAGTAAAAGGACTTTTCTGGTGTTTATTTTTGATTAAGTTACTGTGTGTGAAATGAGTGTTTTCTTAAAGGTGTGGAGGGGTCACGTAGCAGACAGACTGGTCCTGATGTCAAAGGATAATCATCAGAAAAAGTGAAAGGATTAAATAAGCTAAATGAATTATGAATTAAATTGTCATGAATTAAATTCTGCTATATCCACTTTGTTACTAAATCTTTTTTACTCAACATTAATAAACATGCTGAAGATGCATGAATATTCACATCATCCAAAACAAAAAAATTATTCATGAAAAACCAAAGTTTTTCTCTTGTAAACATTCACTTTGTGTGAATCGTTTGCATTTAATTGTGTACAAAACCATAAATACACWAAATTAAACAGATGTTTGTCTTAATATGTTAATTTAAGCTGTTAATTTGACAGAAAATATAATGTTWATGTTTTAATCCAAATACAGTTTTCACTGCAGTTTGTTTTGACATTTTTGCTCTGATTTGCTCTATTTAAAGATATTTACAAAGTTCTGATTGTTCTTGTTTTATGAAACCTGCTCAGAATCTAAKACAAATGTTTTAACATATGCTTTAGGACATTTGTTTACAGTCTGAGGGGGAAATACAGTTTGCACTGAATAAGTGTAAAATTTTCGTTTATTTAGTGTGTGTAAATAGTTAGAAATCCATATAAATATAAAGAAGTTGGAAAAACTAGACAACATTTATGGTCGGTTACCAAAAT